TAGTCATAGTAGTTTTCATGAGTCCCAGCATCGGACAGTGGACTTGGTACATTCTTAAACGTTTCGCCGGCATCGTAGTCGGCATCATTAGTGAGTCTTGCCATTCTCCGCACCAAGCTACGAACTCGTCTAAGTTACAAGTGAAGTAAATACCTCGACCAACATTCTGGCGAGAATGGCAAAACTACCATTCCTAGGTGAGTTCCACTGTCGCCCTGACAACAAGACCAAGTTGGAACGAGGTCAACCCACTTCTATAAATCGAAAGGAGACTGCGACCATACGAGAGGCCACAACATCTTGATCTTCATACCTTCAATTTCAGGAAAATTTATAAGTTCTGGCATGGAGGAGATGATCGTGAAACGTGTAGATTATATCAACCGTCCCCCAGAATAATGGTTTATAACTCTGGCGATGTGGACCGTTGTAGTGAAGAAAAATCAGCAAGGATTCATCGGAAATGAGGAACGGAGAGCCATAGATCCAAGGCAATCTTTCTTTGGTTTTGGTAATACCAATTAACGAATCTCTTTTACTCGCCTTTTTCACAAAATGGAGGATACAACAGAACAAATATTTTAAAAGTTTGTTCTATTTGCCATAGATGACTTGCCTCAATGAGGTATTATGCAATAGTACCTATGGCTTACTTTTTTCATACTCAGCTTATCACCATTATACATAATGACCCATCTTTGAATACGCATCATGCAACTGAAAGCCAAGCTACATTACATATAGTATCTAGGTGGGTAAATGGTCCATAGCCGAATGTTTGAGAAACCTAGTTGTTCACGATAGCAATGCCAGTTTATACAATGGATGGATGTGTAAAGTGTATTCTTTATATTTACGCCAAGATGGTGCCTTTTTAGAATACCAATACTGCCTAACAAATAAATAAATGAAATATAAGCACGTAAACAGAAGCATGTGCATGCACACGCACACGCACGGATAAATTTATATAGAAGCAAAGCTCGTTAATAAAGTAAAATTGTACAAACACATGAGCTAAGAAAGCAGGCACATGAATATATGCAATTCATAAGTCATATATAAGACTAAGTTAACCTTGTGACAGGATTTAATAGGTAGTGTATGGACGAGTATGTGGACCTAGTTGTAAAAGAATGTGGATAATATATGCAAATAAGGACTTAGAGGTGGAAGATGTAATTTATCTGTCTAGTTGGAAAATATGAGAAAATTGTCAATAAAAAGCACATGGTGAAAACCCTCGGCTAAGATATATCTGTACACATAAGGGCTAATCGTCGCCAAGTGAAGTTCCTATCAAGAAACAGGGGAAGTAAAAAATCTTTCGTCTAAAGCTAGGGCAAAGAGAAAATGTCAATTAAGTCAGTACTCAAATAAGATGTCACAGTGCATGAGTTGTTTTAATTGAAAATGTTCATGTCATGAGGCGTATGATAGCCTTAACCAGGCTAAAGCTATTATAGAGGTTGATTGACCTTGTTTTCGCAACTTGTTAATATTGGTAGGAAGACTTAGAGAAACGCGCCTAGTCCAGAGTCCATTGTATGCATGATCACACCGCCACTGTTACAATGTTTACCGTGCTTATTTCGATGTAGTGTGGTGTGCTCCGATGAGCGGCATTCATAAAAACCCTTCATACTCCACGCTGGCCTTTTCACTCCCCTTCATCCTTGTGCTGGGAATGTGGATCAGAGTCTGCAATATTGTTACGCAGCCCTATTCCCTAGGTCTTATCATAGTCTTTCTCTTGCCCCGTAAGATCCGTCTGCTCTCTCCCTGGTTCACGTATTTCACTTGACCCCTGCCACCCCATCTGTGCTACTCGAAGCGTTATTCGCCCTCCCCTGCCTCTGGATGGCTAATTCGAGGCTCAAGCCTCTGAGTAAGTCTTATCGTCAAGCCTTTGCTTGGAAATAATCATGAATACAATGGACTCCGGACTAGGTGCGTTCCTCTAAGTCTTCCTACCAATATGACCAAGTTGCG